ATTGGAACCGTCCGTCGTCCTATAAACTTGTACAGTTGCTAGCAGTTCGTAATAGGAAAGAACTTTGTCATTTAGGTAAATATTTACAATCAAGTTTACTATTACGCTCGACATAATGTGCATTGTTTAATTATCATGTGCATGCTTTTTCTTTTTATCTCCAGATAAAAACTGATTACTTCTTACTTCATTTGATTGAGATTCTTCCAATCTTTCAATCATGTACATTACTTCAATTAATCATCTCATTAATATTTTTCTTTTGTCATTTGTATTCTCATGTGCGTACAACTGTCCGCCATCTATCAAATCAGCTTGTCTTGTACAATGTAGGTTATGTTACATGTTATTCAATATTTGTGTAATGTTTTCGACACCCTTATTGTACATGTACACATTAATTACTCTGTATTATGCTGTAATGCTTATGGGCCGTAAGGCTGAAAGTGAATAAACAATACAATACAATACTGTTGTTGTTTTTTGATTTGACAACACATAGTCAAAATTGATCATTCAATTTTTTTTCTGAATTTCTCCTTTCTCAGTTCAATCTTAGGTCTTATTATTTTTTCATACTATTCCCGACAAGTAATTGGCCAGAAGTGCATCAAGTGTCCACCGATAAAAACTGATATTGACTTGGAGCGCATGATTTCTGTTGACGGACTGGGTGTTTCTAAAAATAGAATTATGATGTGTCTCCAAACAATGCACCGTCCCACTTCTGAAGCTTTTTCTTTCCAGATTGCCTCCATTAATGTTTTGTAAAATAATAAAACAATTGAAGGCTTTAACTTCGGATAATACCTGGATTTATCAACCCGAGAAAAGATACATTGACCTCGGAATGCGTCCTCGGTTAATATATCTTTTCTCGGGTTGATAAATCCAGGTATTGACCTTAGCCAAAGGCTTTAATTGAATAATATTTCTTTTTTGAATGCATTCATAATATGCAGTCTCTGAATTTGCGAGCTGAAGGCTGGAGCGGTTAAGCATCTGTTAAATGTGCATAGTATCCTAGAGAATACAGTATTGTTGCGACATGAGTACACATACCCGATGTTCTCTTTCCTGCAGGACACACACAATAGTATGCATTGACAGGATCCTCTGATGCGTGTAGGTCAAAGTCTATCCAGACATTGTATTTTGCCTGCGACCTGTGGCGAGAGTGTATTTGGCCTCGGAGAAGGTCATCAGCATGTCGGTAAACCCATATCTCATAATCACCCCCATCCGTCTGATGTTCTGTGATATAGTCATCAGGTGCCAGGTTCAGCTGATATGTACCACAAGCCAAAATCGCATTGACCTGGAGATATTGACGATTTATTTTGACATTGGTCATACAACATATTATCCTTAAGATGACACATTTACCCATACAATATATTATCCTTAAGATGACACATTTACCGCATACCGATTTTTTCGAAATTTCTACTATCGTCGGTCAACATAATGTGCCAAATGATATCCAAAGTATGGTGGTGTACACAAACCGGAAATATGTCTATCACTTCCGTAAAGATGCGAAACAACTAAAAATGTACATAACATACTAAACGTTTATGTGTGTGAGACTGCATAACTTTTTTATTTTGCAACATCTAGCTTTATAATTGGGCTCATCATGAGCAGCAGATCTTATTGATGAAAATTTGATCAGTTGCGATAATAAATTGGTGCGACATATTGTTAAATTATCAAACATGACTATAGATCATAAGGTTGTTGGATTTTATTTGGAAATAGACGTTGCTACAATTTGACATTTATATGACAAATTTACCGGTTCTCAAATTTTCTGAAATTTTCACTATCGTATCTCAACATAATGCACCAAATAATACTAAAAGATTTTTGGTGTACAAGAACCGGAAATTGGTGTTTTACTTCCGTAAAGCAATTGATGTAGCAAAAAAGTGTATGAAAATACCAACATTTTTAGAGTTTAAGATTTTATATTTTTTTTATTATGCAATTTTTTGTAACATATTTGAGTTCATAATTTGCAGCAGATCCTACTTTAAATAATATAATATTATTTGATAGCGTAAAACATTGTTTTGATAGTTTTTTGGACAAAAAAAGTGGACTTGTCGTACACCTTTGGAAGGCATCACTAAATAGTTCAGAGCACAGGCCCTCGGGATCTTTTTAATTTTTTAAAAATATCTCATGGGTCGTGTCTTAGGGAGCTACAAATATAACCCAGTAATGGTTAAATTGCTTTGTGGGCAAAATTCTTTTGTTCCTGTAACAGGTCCTTTACATTTTTTACCATCACAATTATTTTTAACTACGCCATTATCAGACAAAATATCCACTTCGTTCCATTCTGCGATACAGTTGTTACGCGGTAGTAACGGATAAATAAAAACCCGGCGATAATTACTAACTGGTACAAATGTAGGTACACCGACATTCCCAGTATATGTATGCACTTGGTAAAACCCGGCGATAATTACTAACTGGTACAAATGTAGGTACACCGACATTCCCAGTATATGTATGCACTTGGTAAAACCCGGCGATAATTACTAACTGGTACAAATGTAGGTACACCGACATTCCCAGTATATGTATGCACTTGGTAAAACCCGGCGATAATTACTAACTGGTACAAATGTAGGTACACCGACATTCCCAGTATATGTATGCACTTGGTAAAACCCGGCGATAATTACTAACTGGTACAAATGTAGGTACACCGACATTCCCAGTATATGTATGCACTTGGTAAAACCCGGCGATAATTACTAACTGGTACAAATGTAGGTACACCGACATTCCCAGTATATGTATGCACTTGGTAATATGTTATTTCCCTTAAAACTGCATAAGAATAAAATACCACTTATACGAATTGTAGTTTGATTTTAGATTAAAAATCAAAGATTACAAATGCCTCTCCATAACGTTAACTCTTCTCAAAGCCACCAGATTAAACCACAAAGCGCCGGTCTATTCTCTTTCTCTGACGACACGCCTCACATTTTACATGTTTGCAAGACTAAAGGGTTAGGTCCATTTTATTACATTTTGTTTCATTTCGAGTAATGTATGGACAATTAATTCTTATTGACATTTAATACTTATTTATAAATTAAGTAATAGACATATTTTTTTATTTTTTTTAAATCCACGTATGTTGCGGAACAAATATCGCTACGTACGCTCGGATCAGAGACATATAATACGTATTATACGTCTCTGCTCGGATAAATACTGTTCGATTTTCACTGAAACTTTATCGAAATTAAATTACATCAACTTGAGCAAATATTTACAATTTTGATGATCTTGTTAATACTTTAGTTGACTGGACTGGAAAACTCAATGATTAAATTACTCGAACGGTGAAAGTTACTTTTGGGAGGGTTGAAAGAAAATCGTGTCCTCACTTCTTTCTACATGTAGTTTTGCGAAATTTCTGTTAACCGAATTGCTACTTATTAATGGCATACGTGTAACAAACTGAAAGCTTCACATGAGGGTATACAAATGTACATAAAATCCTAGCATTGACTTTTGTATTGCTGTAATATACGAATTTATTGAAATATCAATTCGGGACAGGTTCGGCCCATGTAACACATGGGTATATATATATACAGAGACGTATAATAAAAAAGGATTAAATGTCCATGTGAAGTAAGTAAAAATAGAAAAAAATAAGATCTAAGGACCTACTAA